ACGATAGTTCACCTGCCACCAAAAGCGCAAGTTTTCTCCAGAATACTCTTTGTCGGAGAATTTTTGTAACGTTTCTCTACCTATTTCATCATATAATAATTCTTCGAAGCTTTCTTCCCATAATTTCAAACGACGCATTGATACATCACCAGTGCTGAAGAATGAAAAATATACCATTATTGTAATGCTGTGAACATTTCTTTTAATCAGTCAAAAACAGCATAAAATTTTTCTTATATTATTCTTTTTCCTCATTTTGATGTAGTTAGGAACATCAGCAAAAGAAATCAAAACTTAAATGATAAATATTTACCAAATTATATGAAAAAGCATGGATTGCAAATAAATTATTTGTCGCCTAAAGACTCAATTTACAAACCTACATTTCGCTTTGGCAACAATAATAGCTTAATACAATGTGTTCGCTTTTATTCTATTTCATTTTTTTACAATTATTTTCATACATTTTATCATGTTGCCAATAATCAACGGTGTCCGAAATCCATGGATTTGAATGACTTTGAAAAGGATCAACCGCACAGCCAGGTTGGGTTAGAAATGGATCGAAAACACGACGATGATCGAAATATTGTAAATAACTGAAGGAAAATTTTATGTCTTTATTCACAAACAGAAAAACCAGTCAAATTAATTTATTTATCCCAATCATGATTTTTGTCACACTCTAATATGTTGAATAGTAACTGAAATGATAATTAATTATAGATGACAAATATGAAACAAAGCCATGACATGGGTAAGGTAGCTTAAGACTTACCATTCAAAATTATCCCTTGAAGCTATCTTCCAAATCAAAAAATAAATTTAACCAAAGCGGATATCAGACTGAGTCTATTTGAGAAGCGATTTCAAAATTCATTGAAAAAATATCTACGCAAAACAAATTCTTTAAATTTTCAATTTATGCTAGTAGAACAAAGCAAAAAACTTACTTCTCGACAACCTTGGACGTTTTGAGAACATTCTTTGTCAATCGTGCTTCTAAAGCAATAATCTGAAAGCAATTTTGGAAAATATCTGGAAAAGCACACAGTTTTTTTTTTAAGTACAAAGTGACATACAAAAACATTTTGAACACTTCAGTAATTTTAACGCTATAAGATGAGCTGCAATAAAAAAGAAGTATTGACACCTTGCAAACAATAACAAATTAAAATAAAGCCGAACCGCATTTTATGTTTAAACGAAGTAAACGAAGAACTCGTAGAAAGTTCGTTATATTTTTTGTTTGTAAAAACTTCAAAAAATTTAATCGTTGCCTCGATTAAAAAAAATTTCACAACAACCGGTAACATTACAATAAGCTAATTCCAAAGTACTTTACATCGATTATAAAGAAATTCATGTTCACCAAAAAACATCTTTTATGAAGCAGAAATGACACACCTCATGTTTTAATGTATCCTGCACTCGAGTACACCGTCTAATACCAGGTCTTTGGCTATAGTGGTGCACTGATGATGACGGTGACATACAGGGTGATGCTTGCTGACTTGTCACGGAGGAAGATACATTGTTAGCCGCACCATTTAAAATGGAACCTGAGCAAGAAGGCGTTTGTGCAGCTGCATGTGCAGCTGCAGCTGAAGTCGAATACGGTAAAGTGATATTCGAGCATGATGCAACAGCGGCGTGAGTAGATGAACTATATTTCGGTCGTCCTATAATTAAATACTGGGATAAGTTCTACTAATATTTAAAAGTTTTTCATAATTTCGGCAAAAATAATCGAGATTTTGCCTTGATAGAAGGTGGAAAAAAAACCCTTGGAATTGGCAAATTCCGAAAATAATCGCATATTAAAATAATATTAGACGGATTAATCGGTGGTTATACGATTTTTTTTCATCCATCTTGCATGATTATGTTTAATGCATGAATTTATTCCTACTGAAATATTTCGAATAGAGAAGATACATCCTCATCATCTACCTGATCTTGATAGTTTCCGGAAATCAACTTCCGTAGTGTTTACACAACCTGGGACAGGCCTATGAACATCCCAAAAAGCACGCTCCTGACTATCCAAAATCTGTCGTTCTTGACGGTCACGTTTTTTGTCTACTCTAAAATAAGTATATGTAAAATTGACTAATCAAGACAAATTTGATATTTGCTGAATCAAAGTCATAAAAAAAGAAAAAAATGGGTAATTTTCAAAAGTAGGGAAAAACTGCGAAAAATAAAAATTCAGATTCAAAAATATGATAAAAAGATCATCTGATATAATACACTTTTTCAGATACAGATATTATATAATTTTCACTTCCACCACAAATATTTCTTCCATTACTACTCAACGCCACAAAGATGAAACGGATGGTGGAGATAACAAACCGAGAATTGAAAATACATAATTTTCAAAACAAATATAAAATATAATTAGGAATGAAATGTATAAAAAATAAATACCTGTACTGAGCTTCAGCTTGCATAAAAATAAATTCCCACTTGCGGCTGAACATTTTTTGCAACTTCGCTAAATTCTCCGCTTCAAAATCTTCTAATTCCAAATGCGCTTTATTTTGCATAGTACGCTTACACAAGTATACGGCTGCAAGCAATGAAAAAGAATCTCGAAATACTGATAAAGTTTTTCCCCAATAAAATCGATAAAATTATTGCTATTTATAATACAAAACAGTCGTACCATTAGGTTAAATTGGTTGACTACTGTAAAGATTATTTAATGTGTGTTTATAAT